GCCATTCCACCGGGATCGGCGGGAATTCCCAACGGGATCACCGGGAATTCCCAACGGGATCACCGGGAATTCCCAACGGGATCGGCGGGAATTCCCAACGGGATCACCGGGAATTCCCAACGGGATCATCGGGAATTCCCACCGGGATCACTGGGAATTCCCACCGGGATCACTGGGAATTCCCACTGGGATCACCGGGAATTCCCAACGGGATCATCGGGAATTCCCAACGGGATCACCGGGAATTCCCAACGGGATCACCGGGAATTCCCAACGGGATCGGCAGGAATTCCCAACAGGATCACCGGGAATTCCCAACGGGATCTCCGGGAATTCCCAACGGGATCGGCAGGAATTCCCACCGGGATCGTCAGGAATTCCCACTGGGGTCATGGGCAATTCCCACAGGGATTGGGAACTTCCACCAGGATCGGGAATTCCCACTGGGGTCAGGAACTCTCACCGGGATTGGGAACTTCCACCGGGATCAGGAATTCCCACCGGGATCAGGAATTCCCACCGGGATCAGGAATTCCCACTGGGATCACCGGGAATTCCCACCGGGATCACCGGGAACTCCCAGCGGGATCAGGAATTCCCACCGGGATCATTGGGAATTCCCACTGGGGTCATGGGGAATTCCCACAGGGATCGGGAACTTCCACCGGGATCAGGAATTCCCACTGGGGTCAGGAACTCTCACCGGGATTGGGAACTTCCACCGGGATCAGGAATTCCCACCGGGATCACCGGGAATTCCCACCCACCTCGTTGTGGGACTCCTGGTCCCAGGTGCTGAACTGGAATCCGGCCAGGGAGGAGCAGATCCGGCGTTTTTCCAGGCATGGGGCCAGCAGGGCTGCGGGAGGAGGGAGACGGGAATTCCCACTGGGATCGGGAATTCCCACCTGGCTCTGGAATTCCCAAATGGATCAGGAATTCCCACCGGGATCGGGAATTCCCAAATGGATCAGGAATTCCCACCGGGATCAGGAATTCCTACCGGGATCAGGAATTCCTACCGGGATCGGGAATTCCTACCGGGATCAGGAATTCCCACCGGGATCAGGAATTCCCACTGGGATCGGGAATTCCCACCGGGATCGGGAATTCCCACTGGGATCGGGAATTCCCAAATGGATCAGGAATTCCCACCGGGATCAGGAATTCCCAAATGGATCAGGAATTCCCACCGGGATCAGGAATTCCCACCGGGATCGGGAATTCCCACCTGGCTCTGGAATTCCCAAATGGATCAGGAATTCCCACTGGGATCAGGAATTCCCACCTGGATCGGGAATTCCCACCGGGATCTGGAATTCCCACCTGGCTCAGGAATTCCCGCCTGGATCGGGAATTCCCACCGGGATCAGGAATTCCCGCCTGGATCGGGAATTCCCACCTGGCTCTGGAATTCCCACCGGGATCAGGAATTCCCACCGGGATCAGGAATTCCCGCCTGGATCGGGAATTCCCACCTGGCTCTGGAATTTCCACCGGGATCAGGAATTCCCAACCTCCAAAATTCCCAGTTTTCCAGCAGGGCTCCGAGCAGCCAACAAACACACGGGAAAAGGCTGGGAAAATCTGGGAAAAGGCTGGGAAAAGGCTGGGAAAAGCTGGGAAAAGGCCGGGAAAAGACCGGGAAAAGACCGGGAAAAGTTGGGAAAAGGCTGGGAAAAGGCTGGGAAAAGCTGGGAAAAGGCCGGGAAAAGGCCGGGAAAAGGCCGGGAAAAGGCCGGGAAAAGCTGGGAAAAGGCTGGGAAAAGCTGAGAAAAGTTGGGAAAAGGCTGGGAAAATCTGGGAAAAGGCTGGGAAAAGGCTGGAATTGACCTCTGAGCGCGGGCACGATGAGGGGCCGGGAGCTGGGAGTCTCCGGGATATCCGAG